CCCTCTTCGATACCCAACCCTTCGGTACCCACCCTCTCCTCTTCGCTACGCTACTCCTCCTTCCCTTACAACCCTTCTCTTCGACCTGACCGAGCCTCCCTCCATCCGACGATCGAGTCGAGTCTCTCTTCGACCTGACTGCTTCTCGCCGCTCAGTCCCGCCGGACTCTCTTCTGTCGACGATCTGTCTTCTCTCGACTCTCTCTCTCCGACCAGCCCGATTATGTCTCCGACCCGAACCAGCGACTCCAACCTACAGGTATATAACTACAAATTGAAATCTGTTGTTGTAGAATTAGGTTTTTTTTTAGGATTTTTTTTTAGGTTCTAGAATTTGGGATTTTTTTTTTAAGGGTTTTTTGTAAGGGAAAAAATAAAAGAAAATTGAAATGTGTTGTTGTAGAGTTTAAAATTTGATGATCAATTGAGTTTGGATAACTGTATGTATATATATTTATAATGGTATAGTAATTTGTCTTAATTTTATAGGCTTTTGTTTGAGTTTGTATTAGCAAACTTGTGTTTTGAGGCAATTTACAGATTTATTGCTTAGATTAGCTACTGGAATATGTGCTTTGAGTTTATGAATGAGCTGGGTTTCTACTCATAATGTATATGAAGTCTTACAGAACTACATTTTTTTTAATATTTGTCAAAATTTAGACTTAAGAATGTTCCCTATTTGGTATGCTCTGTGATTGTGTAAGCAAATTTTGGGTATTTTGTATTTTGAAATTATATTACACTAGGCTGGTTTTTTGTTGGCTATTAATAAAGAGAAAATTATTATACAATGATGTGCCAATGTTTATCAAATTTATTTTGACAATAAACAATAAACATTGATTATAATAGCTGAAGAAGCAAAAAGATGGCCAGTTCAGAATTGATTTAGGTTATTATATTGGGAATGGATCATCTTCATATCATTATCTTCTATATCCCTTAATATTCTATTTCCTGAATCTCATTTTAGGTCCATAACAGTAATCCAAATGGTTCATCTCATAAATTTTGCAATGAAGGTCATTTGTTTAAAAAATCAATTTTATCAGATATTGAAAAACATGTGAATATATCACATTTTATATTATAAAATAGACTATTTATATCAAAAGGATAATGTTTAAATCATAATTTGACATGGTCCAATGTAAAAATGCTATTTTTGACAATGTTACCTTAACAGTGCGAATGCTACATTTTGATAATGTTGTTCGATTGCCTAATATTGGCTGTTTGATCAAAAGCTACTAGAGATCTAACACCAGTCCATTTTGCTTAATATTGGCCGTTAGATCATCATGGGATAAAAAAGCCTTAGAATTTAAAATATCTCTACTTTTTCTCTTCTCTCTCACAAAAAGCTCCAGTTCAGAGTCCTCTCTCTTTTATCCCCAAAACCTATCTGTGATAGAGTATTGTTTTAGTTACTGAACATTCTTAAGCAAATAACAAGAAAATTTTCCTAAATACAAACTCAAGATTTGATGTATTGACCAATACCAGTCTTTGATCTGGATTTATAAAGCAAAATTGAGAAGAGGAAATGCTATGGGCAATTATTCTACACACTAGGAATTTCATATTGTACAATGCTACTTATCACTAATCTTGACATAAAATAAATACCTATCACCAATATACATTTCAATGGTATATGGGATGAGTATGTTTGTGGCTCTGTGCACCACCCAGAAGTTAAAATGAATTGGTTCTGTTTGTAATTGTCCTTATTTTACTATTATTTATAAATAGGTCTGACCATTCATTCTATTGCACAATTTTTTTGTTATTTTTTTTTACACATAATGAGAAATAAAGAGCCTGTAGCTCATACACCTCTTTGCCTCTCTTCTATGATCCATTATGTTGAAAATTTTCTATAAATCTAAACTTTCTCCAGCTTATTTCCTTTGTCTGACTTGGTGTCAAGAAATTGAAAGTTGCAGGATAAAATCTGTGAGGGGGCTTTTGCATTCGTCACGGAGTAGTTGGGTCTACTATAGCCTTTGATTATGTGATCTAGACTAATCCATTGTTGTACATTTTGAATTTGAATTCCTTATTTTTCTTTTCTTGATTCTCTGAGGTGATCTAGATTAATATATTCTGATTTTTCAATATAATGTTTGATTTTTCATCTTGAAGACTCAAATTTGGCCTCTCTACAACTAGAAGCATTGTTTTTATTTCTTCTTCTTCTATTGAATTGTTTTAGCAATAGCTTTTCTTTTTCTTTTTTTTTAACAGTAGGCTGTTTACACACCTGGTGGCAACTAAGTCCCAAACTCTTTTTTGTTTTATAAAGTGTCTATTTACTTCAATGCGCTTCTTGACTTTATGCTGTTTTGGATTGTGATTAGTGTTAGTTTCATTGTTATAATATAGTCCTTAGTGTATTATTTGAGTTAAATATAGAATATTTTGCTTCATCAAATTAAGTATATACGATTACACTATTTTTGGAAATCCATTGATACAGAGAGGGAAATCCATTGAAATCCATTTTTGGAAATCCATTGAAATCCGTTAATCTTGGTTTATGCTTATAAAGTGTAAATAATGAGAGGGACTAAGGTGTTTTAGTGTGGAAATCCATTTAATATATGAGGTGGAAATTATATGAGGTGGACTAAGGTGTTTAATTATAAGGTGGAAATCCATTTATGCTTATAAGGTGTAAATAATGGGATTAATCTAATGTGTTTGCTCTGTTGTCTGAGGAGGGAATTGCCAAGGGAATTCGTAGAGTAACTGCTGTTACAACACTGTGCTTCTAAGGCCTTGGAACTAGCATTGTCACTTGAAGTAAATGAGGCATCAAAAAAAAAAAGGAAGCTCGCTGGAACAGGTTGTCGCTTCTTTTTATTATTTTTACCAGATTCAGATACAATGTCTCTTTCTGTGAATTAATAAATGATAAACTGAACTGCTTTTTCAAATTCATTATTCATGTTTGACCGTGGCTTTTTGTGTGATAGTTTGAGTTACGTTTTCTTCTTCCTGAAGCAAGGGTGTTGCTTAATTCATTATTCATGTGTGACCCTGCCTTCCTCCACCAACTTTTCTACCATTTTTAACTTGCATTAATCTCTTTTTTGCCAGGTCTAAAATAGTTCTGCACCTGGATTTTGACTTCTTATTGTTTATAAGCTTGGTCGATTGTTGAAGGGATTGTGGTGGGAGGGATGGTACTTTGAAATGTAAATAGAATTTGTTTGTAAGTGTGGATTGTGAAGTACAAAGTTTCACTTTTAAGTATATGATTCATTGAATGTTGGTCATTTGCATGCGCCATATGTTGACAAATGTGATTTTTGATTCATGATTTTAACTAAATATGCAACTGCTCCCTAAACTTCTACTTCAGCCTAATTTTATTTTTTGGTTAGCTATTTCCTAAAATACATCTTTTTTTTGTTGTTGGGAGTGCTTTTTCATTTAGTAGATCCTGAATCGTGCAGGCACTAAAGCAGCTACCTCGAGGAAAGATCGAATTAGCCACAAAATTTGGTATTGCCAAAATTGAACCTACCCAAATTGCGGTGAAAGGCACCCCTGAATATGTTCGCTCCTGTTGCGAGGCGAGCCTGAGGTGCCTTGGTGTGGACTACATTGATCTCTACTATGTACACCGGATTGACACACCAGTACCTATAGAGGAAATCGTATGTGTCTTGGTTCTTCTTTCCGATAAAGTTTACTGGTTTACTGGTTTACTGGTTTATTGGTTTATTTTTCTTTTAAAGTTTACTGGTTTACCTATAGAGGAAACCGTACCTAAAGTTTACTGGTTTATTCTTCTTTTAAAAAAACAGGGAGGTATTATTGGAGTTTGAATAATTTTTTTATTAGTATTATTTGTAATTTTTTGTGTATGTGATGTTTGAATGAAATTTTCTTCTTGAATGGCAGATGGGGGAACTTAAGAAGTTGGTGGAAGAGGGTAAAATAAAGTTCATTGGATTATCTGAAGCAAACCCAAACACGATAAGGAGGGCACATGCCCCCTATGGGCCCTACCTTTCTGCTCAACCATATCAGCATTCTTCTGTTGATTACTTGTAAGGACGTTTCTAAGCAATTGGTGTTATGATCCTGCTTGCATGCCTTAAATACATTTCCCATCATTGGTTTGAAAATTTTGCTATTTATTCACTATATATATAAATTCACTATTAAATAAATGATTAAATTCACTATATATATAAATTAAGTTAACAACCTTATTTAAGAGCTCCATTTTGATCATCATACTTAGTGGAAACAACTACACAGGGTAAATGTGGAAAAAAAATTACAAATTAGTGTTAAAATTTATAAATTTTAATAATAATGATTTTATAGTTTGTTTTTAAGTTACTATGAATTTTAAATTTCTCTTTGATCTACTTCGAATGGGTTTCATTTTGAAATGTGTTTTGATTTCTCAAAGGTTTTATTGTGTTTGAATTTGTGTTTCTAAGATTTGGGTTTGGGTTTGTGATTTTTAATGTGTTGTAATGTTTATTAACTGGGTTATGACTCCCATTCGAAGCTCAACCTTGAACAGCAATGGAATTCAAATAGGAAGAGAGAGACGTAGAGGAAAAAGAGGGACAGAGCTATCTGCTCAAAAAAGAACAAAAACAAAAAGAAGTAGAAGAAGAAAAGAAAAAGTAGCTTTAGTTAAATAATTGCACAGAATTGTTTAAAGAATAATGCTACAGGATTGTTATTGTTTAAATAATTGTGTTTATATTAACAATTTATTTATTTTTATTTAAAATAAAAAAATCTCGAGTAGTTTTGGTTTTTCAGATACTTAACATATATTTGTGAGAAGCCAGATAAATCAGTAGTTTGAAAGTGTTAAAATCTGAAGGTGTTAGAATCTATTACCAGATAAATCAGTAGTCTGAAGGTGTTAAAATCTGAAGGTGTTAGAATCTGAAGGTGTTAAAATCTGGAGTTTAAATTGAGATTTGTTAAAAAAATGGTGAATTTAAATTTGTATGAAAATTAAGTATAAATTGAGTTTATGAGTCATGTTTATATAGAAAATGCTTTTTTGTGTGTGTGTAGATAAATTTGAACTCAAAATTTAAATTAGGTTTAAATTGGGTTATCTTAAAAAATTGATCACAAAAGTGAATTTTGAGAAAGAGAAGAAATAATGGGAGTGAGGGTGCATTTATTTTATTTTATTTATTTTTTTATTTTTTTAAAAAAAACATAGCTCTACACGACATATTCTTACAATAAATTATATTTTTTAATTTTTATTTTAATTTTATTGGGGTGTATTTATGTTTGGTTATTTTTACAAAATTCATTTCAAAGTCAATAAATTTGATAAATTACATTTTAAATCAATACTTTTAAATTTAATTATATTTTAATCTTATAATTAATTTAGACACGGATATACATTTTTAAACCTCCAAACCAACCCTGGGGACTTGCCTGGTTAGAATCTATTACCAGATGAATCAGTAGTTTGAAGGTGTTAAAATCTGAAGGTGTTAGAATCTATTACCAGATAAATCGGTAGTTTGAAGGTGTTAAAATTTGAAGGTGTTAGAATCTATTGATAGAAGTTGAACTTTTTTGAGCACTTTCAAGTTGTTGTAAGCTTTAAAGACTCTGGAAATTAGTTCATCAAAACGAAAACCATGCGGATGGAATGTGATTGGTTGAATGGAAAAAGCAAGCCAATAGAGAGTGAAGTCTAAAATAAATAAAAAAAAATTAAAAAAAAAAGAAAAATAAAAAGAAAGATCTTTGGGTGACCCATCACCCACTAGGAAGAGGTCAGAAAATTTCACGACTTTTGAGAAATCAAAATATTGTATTTATTATTATTTTTATTTTTAAAATCTTAATTTATTTAGCTTTTATTGTTTGTTGGACAAATTACTAAATTGAAATTTTAAACAACATGATAATTATTTATTTGGTAGTATTATATATATCAATGGGTATAAACAATAGAATAATTATTTGTTTGCCGACAGTGGGAGTATTTCGGTGCTTCTCTGTGAGCTGCATCACCGGAGTTTTAAGTTATTTCGTTGTTACTTTATTTGTGTTTTATAAAACTTATGATACAAGTAAAATTGTTACAATTTTTTAAAAGGAATAGTATTTCTTTATATTTTTTCATTATTTTTGTCAAAAAAATTACAGAATTCATAATAAATTTTAATATAATACGTATTAATTACAACTGTATTTTGATCACAACATTATTTATACCGTGCCTTCAGGCACGGGCATACGCTAGTAGATTAATAAGAGGCAATCCCATTTCAACTACTCCCACAAATTGTTGTACGTACAAACAGATAAGAACTTGGGCAGAAGAACATGGTTAGAGTTGTCATATACTTTTGCCTAGTTTGGCATCTCTAAAAAAATTTAAAAAGTCAAAAAGTCACTATCCTATTTAAGTCACATCATCTTATTTAAGTCACATCACTTCTCTAACATATCACTTCAAATCCAATCCCTACCCAACTCATATTTCATAAAAAGTCAAAAAGTACACTTATTTAGATCATCTCAAACTATCCCTTTGTGTGTCACTATTTAATGGGTTTCTTTTGTCAAAAATTCACAAATTTTAGTTAACATTTATTTTTTAATTTTTTAAAATTATCAGTTAGATTAGGGTAAAAAATAAGCAGAAAAAAAAAAAAAGAAGACACGGTTTGAATGAGAGTATAGAGCTGTTTACAGCAACCCCTTAGATGACCACCGTTTCTTTATAGGGCAAATTACATATACACCCCTCCAGGTTTGACAAAATTACAGATACCCCCCTGAGGTTTGAGAAATTACGAATTCCCCCCTGAATGCTATATTTGCATAAGAAATTAGGGGGTAATTTGTTATGAAATATAAACCTCAGGGGGTAAATTGTTATGAAAATACAAACCTCAGGGGGCGGGATGTAATTTCCGAAACCTCAGGGAGGTATCTGTAATTTAACCAAACCTGGAGGGGTGTATATGTAATTTGCCCTTCTTTATAATGTTGTTTTGACTTGTTTATCAGGCTGGTGTCGTACGAGAGAGACAAACAAACACCGCGCGGTCGCAATCATGAGCAGAGTAGATCCAGTCTCCACTGTCTACAGCTATTACGCGTGACTACCCTCTTGTTTTGACTTTGCATTTTTCATTTTTCTTGCTTTTATTTATTAGGGGAGCATGTCTCACCTTCCAATGTTAAGTGTACTTTTATCCCAAATAAATTATTATAAATACATTTTAAAATTCAAATACAAAGACAATGGTAGAAAAAATGTTTCATAATTTGAATTAAACGGTAATAATTGCATGTTTTCTTAATAAATTAAGGCTTCGTTTGGGAAGAAAAAAGTCAGGCTTTTTTGGTTAAAATAGTCACAAAAAATAAAATAGGCTATTTTAGCCACAAAAAACAATATCAAATCTAACTCATAATCATTACAATTCTCTCTCACAAAAAAAGTCAAAAAATTCAAAAAGCTAAAAAGTCCTTCCCAAACTGGGCTAAAATAGCTCAGGCTAAAAAATTCAAAAAGCTAAAAAGCCAAAAAATCAACTCACTTCCCAAACGGAGGCTAAATTTTTTATAATGGACAAATAAATATTAAATTCTATTAAAATTTTAATTCGTATAACATTTAATGATCATTTTAGAATTAGTTTTTTTAAGTAATTTTTTAATTTTTTTATAAATAAAAATATATTGTTATATTTGAAAATGACTTTTTTTTTTTAGTAATTTTTAAATTTTTTTTTTTTTACTATGTTAATCAAAAAATTCAATGCTAGATTTTACGGGAAAAAAAATTTGTCATAAATATCCAGGTTCATATAGGTTTTTTGAAAAAATATTTAAAAAAAAAACTAGGGTAAATTAAATTGAAGATTCATGAGGTTTATAAAGAATATAAAAAAGATAATTAGTTTGACATAATTATACAGATATTTTTTTTTAGTAAAGTTAAAACAATCCAAATTAATGAAAATAAGTGTACAAACATATGGACAAAAAACAAAAGAAAGAGAATTCTATTATACACATTTCATATCACATGCACTCTTAATTACGCTATTTTCTTCTTTAGTTATAACCAAATCTCTTCTTTAGTTATGATATTATTTTGAAATTTTGGTTATGACTTTTTGTATTTAGATATGACTTTTTTTTTATTTTTGTAGTCAAGACTCAGAAAGTATGAAATTATGTTATTTATTTCTGTAGTTATAAAATGTATATAGTACACATCCTTTAGCCTTCTCCTAATATAGTATTTTCCTATATATTAATATAAAAACATGAAAAATTCTACAATGCACATCCCTTATCATATGCACTTTTAATTACGTTATTTTCTTATTTAATTATGATCAATTTTTTTTTTTTTAATTATGAGATTATATCTTTGGTTATGCCTTATATAGTCACGTTTTTCAAAGACCCCCCCAGACTACTCTTATTTTCATGCGTATCCCTATACTATGTGAATTCCTTTCAATTTTACCCGTGCCGTCTATTTGAAAACAGGAAGTGGACGGAATGGGTGATGTGGCCCCCTATATTTTCACATGGAAGGAAAATTAAACAACTTGGATGATCACAATCAAGTTACATACATTAGGGTTGCTTAGAACTCCCCAAATCGCAATTAGGGTTTTTAATTTAATCTCAAAATTCCAAAATCAAAGCTGCGAGTGAACAACGACTGTGAAATAACATTGAAATTATAGGTTGAACGATGGGTTGGGTGTTAAGAGAGAAGAATAACGGTGGAGGAAGACAAAAACCTGTATATGATATGTATGTTTTTTTGTTTTTTAAT